CTATAATAAGACTAGTCACATTATGTCAGACTCAGGATTCACGACCCAGAATAGACTAGAAAATACTTTATTGAATACATTAACAAGCAATCAGTCTCAGTTAATCCGGAGCAGAAATCAATGAGAGAAAAGGAAATCACATATTAAGCACTCATTGGGCTATCTCTCTCGATCCACACTCAGTGATAGACCCCATTTTACATTCACTTTCACACACCAATTAGTTTTGACAACAATAACCATTAGTATCATTATACAACTATTACTTGCTTCTGGGTTACTTCGATGTGTGAAAACGTATACTAATTCTCTATTGTATAAGAATTTAATCAGTCACTTGATAAATCTGATAATGATTGATTTTGGGATTACATATTAACGTCACTAATTCCATGACAAACTAAATTTCAAGCAGGATTCATCAAAGTTGTTAACTAGCTGTATTTCTTTTCTAATTTCATTTCAGGCGAATCAGAACGCTGATACTGCTCAGTTATTTGTGAACTTTCTTGAAGTTCTGATAGATTCACATTTACCAGGAGAAGATTTAAGGACTTCGTATACACCAGTTTTAGGCTTAGGAAATACAGGTCGAGCCAGTAATCTCTCAAGTGATTCCTCCTTAAGTTTATCTAGTGTGCACGGCCCTATAAATGAAGTATCAACTGTTTCTGTCACTTCTTCCATTACATCTGCTGTAACTACTGCAACTACTAATGTAGACCCATCCGTAAACAGTGAAGACAGAGATGGACCTAGTTCAATATCACCCATTACTTTGGTCAACGTTCCATGTGTTCTATCAAATAATGATTCTGAAGAACTGAAAACAAATTTCTCTACTATTGGCTCAACACCAAAAGATCAACAAGATTTAGATTCTGAATATTTCTCTTCTAGAGGAAGATCTGGGTCAAATGTCAGTGGTTTTGAGCATATAATAAAGGTAAGCATATTTTCTAGCACAATTCACTCTTTATCTTCTGAACCTTGAATATGGTCTATAAATTAATACAAATACATTAGAGTTGGTATAATAGGACTTTTTGTCTCACCTAGATTTATGCAATTAAATCAATCAGTCTATCTTAAAAGTATTAACTCTGGCACAATACGTCATCGATCAGTTTTCAACAGTACATGGTGGCTGTTAAAAAGTAGGTTTATGGTAAGAAATTCAGATGAAATTAACTAGAAAATTCCAAGAAAGACATTTTCTGTATTTCACTACTAGTAACGGATAAATACTACCGTAAATTGTAACTGTTTACAAATATTTATTTTAATATTTTATAGAAATGGGTAAGTAAAATTAAAATCATACTCATCATTCACAAATGTATGTTGTGGCTATGTCGAATGATCTTTTCCCTTGACCCTTTTAAATTATGTGGATCGAACTGTATCGTGTTGAAAATGATGATTAATGATTGAAAAATATTTCAAGGTATTTGCTTCTATCAACTGCTTGAACATTGCTGTTTTTTCGTTTAGAAGGAAGAATCTAAGAAATTTCAGCCTAATCGTTCGTCTATTTAATCAATTAGAAATAACTATAGAAGTTTTAGTATTTCCAGTGTTTTTCTGAAGACGATATTTATATTTAAAAGTTATCGTCTACGTGTATAAAATAAGCTTTTATCTAAATTGGCATGAATTACTGATGACAAGTGTTGAACATCAACAAAAATACTCTACACTGCTCAATAGATGCAGCAAAATTAAAAAGTTTCCATAGTATATGTAAATATTAGATACTGATGTATTAATTAACAGTAATTCGATGACTGAATAGTCTCTGATCTCATATTGTTCAATCCTTAGTGTTGAATGAATTTAATCAGTGCAGTTTTCAATGTAGTCATTGGTCTACATGACTATGAACCATAGTGCATTCTGTCCTAACATTAAATGTTTGGAGAGAGTTAGAATGAAGTTCTAATTTAAATTTTAATGTTTCTATTGGACATCACTTTTTCGAAAGTTGATAGTGATCGAGAGCAGATATTCACTGATATATTTTGGGCGATTATATCATCTACTGGAGCCGATAACTTTTGTACACTGAAACTTTTTCTCTTACATTTATTCACATAGCAATAATATAATTAGTTGTAAATAGTAATTTTTAACATTTATCATGCACAAACGTGTACCTTGAATCATAACATGAAATATTTATCGCTCATACTTTTGAGCTGTTGTCATAAACTATAGAGATATTACCTGTTTGATGAAATATCCAATCAAAAGATTTCGATTTTCGATTTTAAAGAAGCAATTAATACCCAACTGATCCGGGAATACTAGTGAGAATATATGAGTTATCATGTGAATGTTCATTTGGTATTGATAGTTATGAATTGTTGCATAATTACTTAAACATTTCCGAATAATCAAAACGTAAGCCTAGAAAACGATATAACCTCAATGCATAGGACGTTTTTTTAAACTACCTATTTATTACGGTTAATTTGAAAAATTTAACTGGACCAAATATGATTTTCCTTTACAGCGTAAGGGATTTACATATATATTCAAATAGTTTATGTTTATATATATATATATATATGATTTGTTTGTTAAATATCCATAGGGTATTATAAGATTTTATTATTTTTGTTTATCAATAAATTGATAAACTCTACTTGTATTTATATAATTCTCTTTTTAGTGAACATTCTGGATAGATAATAAACATATTCCTACAATTAATTGAAATGTAATACATACTTTGTACACACGGCATATTCATTTAATTGACTTTAATTACTCATTCACTTATAATTACTAATATTAAATACAAGACAAATGAACACAAATCATTTTTTCATGATGCTAAATGTTGATTAAAAACCAAAAGAAGATTTGTTTACAAAAGAAAAAAAAGTATTCATTCCTTTTTTCTTTCTCTTCCATACTCTCTCTCTCTCTTTATCTCTTTACTTTCACTACTGTTGAATATATAGTTAACCATTTTATCTACTGTATGTAAAACTGAATAGATTTCATCGTAGAACTAGATAGTTTTCCGATCAAATTACCTTTATTTGTTCATCAGAGTTTATCGATTAAGATAGAAAGTTTTGTTCCTTGATTATTATTATTTTTTTTGAATTCATTATTTCCAAAGAAGAAATTCCTAACCATGTATTACATACTTGTCGACATAATTCTAAATAATATTTAATTTAACACATCCGAGTGAATTTCAAATTCATTTGTTTGAATCTGTGACAATTTTTATTTAATATTACCGGAAATTACATTTTTAAACTTCATTATCATCATCAAATCTTTTGAGGATGAATTCATTAACAATAAAGTCAATTAATGCATTTAATCAATTTATGTGTATATTGTATTAAAATATAAAAATCTAAGTGTTTACATTTCTATACATTTTTTTTTCATGAAAAAGAACTGACCTAAACTTTGATTTTATTTTTCTGAATAAAAAATAATCATTAAAAAAAATATTTCAATCACTCTATTCCTGACAACAACAAAAATTTTGTTTGTGTGTAGTAGAACATTTTAAAAAACAAAACAAAACAAAATAAACCTACATTACCATTGTGCTTTCGTTCGTTATCATCATTTTTATTTTTATTTTCAGAACATTTACACTCATCAATCAAATTATGGTGTATTTTGTTTTCTGTGCTTTTTTTTGTGGTCTAACTTATGTTGTTTTCTTTTCTTAGTTTCAACTTTATTTGCTTCTTTTCATTGGTCAAATAAAAAATAATCAACAAATTATCTGTTTTTATTTTCTATCACTATGTGACGACAGTTATAATGACTATTATTATTATGATTATTCAACTATATACTCACCGACCCAAACATAAGTAAGAGTAAAGTTTCAATTACCTATTTTTAATCTTTCTTGTCCAGATTTGCTTATTATTTAATTTCGTATAACTGAAAAATTCTGCATTTCTATATTGATGTCTTTGTGAGTGTTTGTGTATATTTATAATTGTCTATTTGAATTTCAGAAAGTAATCATCAAAAAAAAGACAAAGTCAATGATTTCATTCAATGGTTTTAAATGTTTTCATTTTATGAATTATTATAACTTGTTCTATATCATTCTGCTTTTCACTGTCTTTAACATTTGATGTTATTTTCCAGTGCATGTGTACTGTTTCACTCCTATTATATTATGGGATATCTGTGTGAACCCATGATAAGAATTATAGTGATAATCAAATAACTTTCCATAAAATCAAAATAAAACATTCAATTGATGACTGCTTTTCAGTTTATTAAGTGTTATAGTTTAGTGAAAAGTTATCTTTATAGATTTGTTTTTTTATTAAAAATAATTGAACAACTTAGTTAAATTGACGGTTTGGTACATCGTAAAAATCCACATAGAACTTCAGGCTCCTAATAAAGTATCCCTATCCAATAAGATTTAGTTGACTGTGTACTTGAAGCCTATATAAACAGATTCACTTGAGAGGATAAATTTGAATTAAATGTAAACAGATTGATGATTACCTCAATACGTTTGTGCCAGTACCTAATTGAAATCGTAAAACTATAATTTAGGATGACCTTCAGGTTACGGCAGAGTGGTGAGACTTTAATTTATGGACGTACCAATCAGATCTAGGATAACAGGTCTTGAATTTTGGAGCGAAATTCACTCATCTACATAGTTAAATATGATTTTGGCATTATAGCTGATTTCGTTTCGTGATAGAAACCCTAAGTCTAATTCCTTACCCTAACCATCAACATTAAATCATAATCCTAATTCCTCATACTGGTTTATAACCCTCGATAAGAAATGAGTGTTAATTTTATCAGATTTTTTAGTAACCCATGACATTAGGCTTTTTGCTACTTCAATTTATATCAGTTACTTTATCGGTAAATAACAAACCAAATCTTTTTAACTAACAATCTGAATAATAAATCTTTTCAATAAATTATTTTCCAAACTTTATAAAAACAATCACATTAAGCAGCAAAAATAAGACAAATTCCAATATCACTAATATTTTTTAAGATGTTCATAAACTGTTTCGTAGACAGCGAATGTACATGCATTAACTACAAATGCTCTAGTGATAACAACGTTAAATCCACGGAAAAATATTTTGTAGCTTTTTTCTTTTAATAGTGTATTTAGAACATTTGAAATTGTGATTCCATTACCAACTTGTTGTCTTGTTTTTATTACGTCCTAAAATTGTAAATCAATAATAATGGATTAATAATTAAGATCTATGGAGTACTTTCGGCGAGGATTTGTCGAATAAAAAGTAGGGACTTGTACGATAATAAGATTTTTTCTAAATAATTGATATCTACGTAGTTCAAAGATATCTAAAACAACTTAAACAAGCTTATCCATAATAATTTAACGGATTAACTGATTTAGAGGCGAGTTTTAATCAATGATTGAAATTGATTAGGGAATCATTAAAAACCATAGAGCACTGTAAAGTTATTTATTCCTTGTAACTTAGAACTACTTATTCTTGACTCCATACAGAATCAGATGTGAAGCTTTTACAGCACTGGATTACCAAGATCAGTCAGCCGAACCTGGTTTAGAAGAATGTTGTAGTTGATATCATCCCGTGATGAAAGCTAACTTTGGATTGTACAATCTTCATAAATGGCTTCGAATAGATATTGTTCCACTTTACAACAAAATATTGAATTCGAATATATAATAAGTCAAATACTATATCATTTGTTGATCAAGATGCCTAAAACATGCTTTGTTTAAACAATACTAACACCTACCTTGAAGTACACTGCTAACCAGTATAAGACTATATTGGAAGAAAACTAGGGGGATCCAAAACAAGGACTTAGGATCAGTCCATCTGAACACTGACCGTTGAAGTAAGCTCTGGAGGTAGATGCAGACTATCTAAATAAGAGCTACAGTTAGAGGCATCTAGAAATCACTCTTGAGGGCCTCGATACATTTAATTTCTCTCTATCTAAAATAAATTATTTTATACATTATATTCATCCTTTCAAACCACGTCTTCTATGTGTAGTCAGTATCATGAATCATTAAAAATTCATTAACTACAAACATTCAAGCTAGTCAAACTATCATAAAATGATCCCTATTTTAAAACTGATATCTGGAAAATGTCAACTATTTGGCACTGATCCAATGGTCACCACAAAAAATAAATAAATAAATAAACATCTAAAGTTCAGTTTTGTATAGGTTTTTTTTAATGTCTACTTTATAAGGAATTTTTTACTGCTCTTTGATTTTCAGCAGTCTACCAGACGTTTTGAGTTTATGTTTAAAAACACTTCTTAATATTTTATTATATTTTATCAACAACTACATGGCCTAGAATAAACCATACTAAAACAATTAGAATTTGATATTTATAGTTTCTTCCTTCTTTTTCTTCTCCTTCTAATCACTACAAAAAGTTGAAATATTGTTTTCTATTTGTTTTTATTTTTTAAAAAGCAAATTATTTTTGTTTTTGATTGAGATCATGAACCGATTGATGTTAGATCACCATTGAAAACCTGGTGGTCTTGCATCAATCGGTTCATGATCTCAATCAAAAACTTAACAATCTCCACAACCCCTATACTGATATTTTTGTTTTGTTTTATTTAAAAAAGACTATCTGTACTATAAAAGTTCATTTAATATTAAATTATTTTTTTTCTATTTTTCCCCATAAATTTTATTTTAAACATTTCACCTATCAAATCAATTCAATTATCAATGAATAATTTTCAAATTATATTCAATAATAGGACGAAACGCGTGTCCTGGATTCCACTGCTAGCCATTATCCATCATTGTTTACAAAAAGCTTGTGAATTAAGGCAATATCGAGGCAATACGCACAGTATGCATATATGCCAATAACAGACTGATCATTTGCAGTCTTAAACCTCAATGGGAAGATACAAGCCAAATAACACCAAGTGAATTTATATTCAATAATGTTTTTTTTTAATTTTTTATATCATTTTAATATAAACTATTTTAAATTTTCTAATCGGGCAAAACAACAATGATGTACATTTTATGTAACCGGAAGTAGTTAAAAAAAATATATTCCATGTTCCAATTATTTTATTAGATTTAGTTTTATTGATACGTTTATTCTTTATTCAGTCCAAAATATTTATCGACCACAGATTTATTTTATATAAATTTCATTTTGTTTTTTTCAACAAAAAGAACATACGTATTCATCCTTAGTGAAATTGGATTGTGGTTAGTAGTGAGATAGGAAACGTACGTTTCATTCTATCTAAGATCCATACATAGATAACCTCATAACTATTGAACAAACTAGTAGCTATATGGATTAAGGGGCTTAATATATAACTAAAGGGGGTTTGAAATTATAGGTACAGTGTGAATATCAAGACCGGAATACAAGTACAAACTAGTAACGAGTCATGTAGTAAGCCCATTTAACTATTTTTATTGCTCACTAGTGACTGGCTTCAAATGGTATTTCCTGTAGTTCTAGTGAGAAACAGTGACCAGTGGAGTTCAATCAAATCTGTTGTGAGGTAGTAACTCACTGAAGACAATCGCGGATGTGTCGCTCAATTTCGTGGATTAGTTGAAGTTAGACATTAACACCGTTGGATACCGGCTCAGTGGTCTAGAGGTTAAGCGTTCGGGTGAGAGATTGATAGGTCATGGGTTCGAATCTCGAGGGGCGTGGTCGTGGATGCGCACTGCTGAGGAGTTCAACAATGGAACGAAATGGCCGTCTAGTGCTTCCAGGTTTTCTATGGTGGTCTAGCTTCAACTGACTCGTGATCTCAACTATTAAAATTTCTATAATATTCACAAAAAAACCCTCCTGATAATGTATTATTTGTCTGCTCATTGTAATTTAGGCATTTAATCTACTATGTAAATTTATGTGTGAGTCTGATTGATCGCATGTCTGCACATCAATCTTTAATCTATTCTCTCATTGGTTGTAACACACAGACAATCGATAATTTATCCACAATCAATTAACACTTATAAGTATCTACAGGGATTTTTATCATTTACTTGTTTCTCTTTGTGTTTGTTTTCTGCACGCTTGCGGATTTCACTGATCTTTAACAATGAACTATCTCTACAATTGGTGTTCAAGCTTTTGCATAATTTCGAGTAAATCCATAATACTATAGTGAACAGAACATGGGTTGGGACAATCGACTGTATTTAACACAAAATTACAGAAAATGTTATTAAAATCTAACAATCAAATAGTAAATACGTAATTTGCAAAATGTCCATCAATTGTCTCATAATGACTCAGACTTCATTGTTCTTGCATTTTCACACAAGTTGCATTCTGTTTCCATTATTTACTGTTCGATCCTCTTATCTCTCTGCTGCCAGACATTCTGTTCACGACTAACATCATCTACTACTTATGTCAAAATAAGTAGCACACACCACAATACTACTAGGAGATTTAGTAGTTAACGGGATACTATTTGTTGGAGTCAGATATAGAGGAATTTAATATCTACAGTCTTAAATAGAACGAAACTCATATCCTGAATACCACTGTTGAGGATAATACAATTTTATCAAAACTTACGGGAAAATAGCGATATCTAAACGATCCACTCAAGATAAACGTATACCAATAGGGAATGATTAATTACTATCCCTGATATCAACAATGGGAAATTAAAATTCCTTATAGATACGTAACCATTTTTATTAACTTACAAATGGCATTGAAACACACCAAGATAATGCTCCACTTATTGCACCACCAATAAAAGCAGACCAAAATGTTGACAAACCAATATGTTTTCCTATTTTTATTGATTCAGAATAAGCATAAAAATAAGCAGTCAGTCCTGGAATATCACGAAATGCTTGAATAATTGTCCCTGAGTAAAATCCAGTAAATCCTTGCATACGTAAAATGGTATGAATACATTTTCTAGCAGTCAGTTGTTTTTCACCTGTTAAGCAAATAAACAAACACAATATGTACAAAGTTATTATTAAATAATTACTGATCAGTCACCTAGTTCATTCTCATTCATAGTGTATCTATGCACACAATTTCATATTTAATTTGTTGTGCTATCAGGAATTTATTCCATATTATTGTATTAGCTGGGACTGTAGAAATGCTTGCTGACTTGTCCTCTACTTTGACACTGGGTTGGAAGTGGATCAAGGAACAATAGGTACTAAGATCTCGGTCACTGGGTCATTGGTAAATCAGGTCATCTGTTCTAAAGATATTTAGCGAATTAATCAGTAATCGAACCAGACAATATCACTGCTCCCATAACAACAGCCACATCAAACGAATCCCAATAAACTACAAGTATTTGTTCTTTTTCAAATACAAAAAGGTTAAGAGCTGACCAGAAGACATTGAGGTCTTACTTTAATCCCTGGTGGAGTTATGGATGTTCATTACAGAGGACTATCGTACCAGGATAAGACATCAACCCAGAGCCTCTTCATTTTCAATGGTTATCTGACTAAGATCAGTCAGTGATATAAAACTTCAAACTATTCACAACCTACTACGCTACGAAATAACTATGTTTGATAATTAAAAATGACGTGAAAATTTTAAATACATATTTTTGAATATAAAGCATTAGTATAAATACATCAATTTACCTGGATGACTTGCTATGGATTGTTGTCGTATTTTAATAACTTCAACTGGAACAGCTGGTATCAATTGTACAGCTCCTGATACAGCACCGGCCATTGCATTTGCAAATGGGGACTGACCAGTTGCATCAAATATACTTAGTGACTCTTTGTATGCAGTAAATACCACGGCATTGATAAATCCATATGAATAAAACGGAATCGCAAGCCCAGTAAAAAATCGTCTCTAATGTTAAAAAAAAAAAATAGAAAAAGACGGTATATACAATTTAAAATAATTAATCCCTTTAAATGTTGCATTGACTAGACTAAATTTCGATACATGAAGATATTTATTTAGCTGATTAAAGTTCATGTATTATTCTCTATCATAGTAGAACATTGTAAAAAAAAATAAGAAAACTACTTCACAACTTGTTACATTGTCCATTACTTAAAAGAAATTAGGCATTTTATACATTCAGCATCACTTTAGTTAAATGAAAGTAATACATACAATTCCATGGTGTTCTAACTTCAATGGACTCACGAACTCAACTACTAAAATACAATTGTTTGCTTGTTACTACATTAACAGACAACTAATTAATACTGACCTTAAAGCAAACTCATCAAAATTAGACAACTTTGAACTGATCAACTGATGATATAAACAGCCATCAATAGTTAATTATTATCATTAAATTATACCATCGTATTTAGTTGTCAAACATATGATCAATAATCAAGAGATCGTTTATTCACCATCAAATACACAATCTTTCGACTCAGTCATGAAACATTTAATTCTTACGTAGTAATGATTTTTTTAAAAAGACTGCTCGTTAAACTCATTTTTAAACTTACTAGTCCGGTTTCAAGAATCGAATCAGTCGCTTCTTTAAATGTTAAATTTCTCGACGAACTTTGCATAACAACTTTGACAGTATCCATTGGATGACCAACCGTTAAGCCAGCTAATCCTTTTTGAGAAATAAAAAAGAAACATTATACAATTCTACTACACTTTTTTCATGATTAAATGTAAATTCCTTGTGAAATTACGTATAGTTTTACTCCATCCTGGAATCACTGGACGGCCATTTCGTTCTATTGTTGAACTCCTCAGCAGTGCGCATACACGACCACGCCTCTCGAGATTCGAACCCAGGACCTATCAATCTCTCACCCGAACGCTTAACCTCTAGACCACTGAGCTGGTATCCAACGGTGTTAATGTCTAACTTCAACTAATCAACGAAATATGTAATGCATGTAATTAATCAGTCACTACATTTATCCTAATCAAAATCACAGATGATACTACTAATGAGTTTAAGAATTTTATTTGTTTATTTTTCATATTTTAACTGATGGTCATTGGTTAGATCAATGAACTAATTTTTATGATTATACTGTGGATTGTTGAATACTGAATGAATAGCAAAATAATACAGAGAATTCATCAGCCATATTACCATTTCTTAATAGAAAATACGTTTATTTACTAGAAAGAAAACTAAAATTAACAAATTACTTTTGAATTTGTAATCAAATTGTGTTCATGATCAGTAGTAATTACAATAACTAATGTGTTATATCCTAGTGAAGATTAAATTACGGGTAACTTCTGAGAACTATTAATGGACCAATATTATATGTATATTCCTAGATTATGTACATCTCTATTCCTTCTATTATAAGCTTCATTTTGACCTGTAGATTATTATTATTATACGGTTTACTGTTTGTCTTTTTTTATGTTCGGTTTATTGATTATAGTCTTCCACGTTCACAGTACTTTTTGACTTGATCTTGTATAAATGTTATTTCCTATTTTATGGTGTGATGTGATCTGTTTGGCTTATATATAATCCAAATATGTTTGAAATAAATGATTCGCATAGTAGAAGCTGTTATTGGCGTTCTGGACTCAACTGAATAGGTTAGGCGAACAAAGGACTCTAGGCTGCTCATACCGGGTCGAACGTCGATGGTTTAGCACAATACTAAAACTGAATGAGTCATATTTCAATAAGTCACGTGACAACTAGCCAGGCTTAAGGTCACGACATAATCACTGATAAATAATATGATCATGTGTTTAAAAAAGGGATCATTAGACAAATTATTATTATTATTATGAGCACAGATCCATGAGATTATCGAATACATTTTTATCTTTTTTTATGCTTTTTTTCAAAAAAACAAAACAATTTAATGAAGAGTTTCACTGGGTAATTGAAAATTTAATAATAAACTTTCTTCATTTCTATTGATTTTTGGTGGTTATCGATTTTTAAATAGAATCGATTTCTAAGTTACATGAAAATTATCAATCGTATATTGAATTATTGATTGATTGTTTCGTGTAACTAATCAAAACTTTTAAATAAATTTGTATAAAAAATTTATATAAACAGAATATTTATATATGAGAAGATGGTATTATATATATAAATAATAAATCATTTTGAAATGAACATTACATTTTAATATCATCTATAGTGATTCTCATACAAAATATCTGGTTCTATGATATTGAAATAGTTAATGAATTTCAATTTCTAAACATAGTTTCCTTTATTATTTTGAAAAGAGCAAGAACAAACATTCTAGTGGAATAGCATGAATTCATTTTTATTTCGTTGGTTCTCGTCAACTGCTTACACAACCTGTGATATTTAAAAAATCATAATTACGTAATGGGTTTAAATTACTTATATGAAAGAGTTTAGAGAAAAAGAAAATATATTAAGATACAGCGAAGGAATATTAGTCACCAAGGCCTTACACTTATCACATTATTGAGTTTTATTTCAACTATCTTCCAAATTCATAATCTTATTTTATCAACTGAACTCTACTCATTTTATTCCTATCAATGTTTACTTGTTTCTAGCCGTTTAAACTGTTGTCACAATGTTCTTTTACATAAGGTATATATATTTACAATATTCAGTCTATTACATTTATTTACAAACCTTGCTATACTATACGAATATGTTTTCAATATAACTTTCAATCAATCTCTTTCATGTAACTAATTTAAACCCAGTATGTAATTATGATTTTAAATACCACAGGTTGTGTAAGCAGTTGACGAGAACCAACGAAATAAAGAAATGAATTCATGCTATTCTGTTGAAATGTTTGTTCTTGCTCTTTTCAGAATTTCAATTTATCTGATTGAAGTTTACCATGTCTAATGATGTAATGGATAATGACTGAGAAATAATCCATTTGATCGTTTTTTAATCATACTTCATATTTGATTGAAATAAATCATTGTATAACTATTACTTATTACATTTTATCAAATGTCTTAACGAGTAATTTTTATATTTGTTATATTTCCATTAAGAAAATCAGTAAACATATTCAAATACATAGACAATAAGTAAACTTATTACATAAGTTAATGCAAAAATACTGTCCGACTAAACAAATCAAAACTGATTAAATATGGTTATGATTTACAATTCAATGGTGAAAAAATTTTGAAAAGAGCAAGAACAAACATTTTAGCAGAATAGCATGAATTCATTTCTTTATTTCGTTGGTTCTCGTCAACTGCTTACACAACCTGTGATATTTAAAAATCATAATTACATAATGGGTTTAAATTACTTACATGAAATTGATTCATAACCTCATTAGATTGAAGATCTCTTATAATTAGCTTAACAATTCATTTTATTCTAACACAGTTTTCATTTTAATGTTAACTTTAAAATTATATGACATGGATACCGTTTAAATAAATTTCGAAAACAAAAATGTTACAATCAAATAGATTACAAAATGAAAAACAAAAAAAATTCTCAATTATTTAAAATTTCTGTTAAATTACACCATTTCAAAATAAAAATATCAATAATATTCATCTATTAAATATACTTACCTCCAATAGCACCAGCTAAAAATTCATTGAATGTTTGTCTTGACATTGATGATAAACTAATTAATATATAAGAAGGGTGAAAAACGATTTGACCATATCATTCTCATATATAATAATAAGAATTTATATATTTTGAAAATAATAATTACGGAATTCATGCCAGTTTATAGGCATGATCAATTTGATATAAATAGTAACATTAGATGTACAGAACAAACATCTGATAGAATAAAGTTTTAAGTATACTAGTTCAGTAATTGTTTAAGTAGTATATATATATTACAGCGATCCAATGCATCAGCCTGGAATTTTTAATATTTCTTAAATGGACAGCCTGTTGATTTATGAACGGAGTAATTATGGTCATTTCGTGTGCCAGATCGAATAAATGATAATTATCTACAACTAGAGAAATGAAAACGAGAACAGAGAGCACGGAACAACAAAGCAGTAATTACCAAAATATGTCAATCAGGTCTACCGAAATGCGTGTGTCATGTGACACAGTGATATACTGTTGATGTTAGATATTATTCAAATTAGTTAAAGTTGCTAGAGACGGTGTTAACATAAAGTGACAGCAAGTAGGTGGTTTTACTTAGAAAATTCACTAATAAAAATAGCTAAACATTTAAAGTTCCTATAATATCATTTGTGGAATGAGATACACTTACAGGTGCTGGAACAATCAATGCATTTTCAGAGGAGCAGTATGCATCGATGCAGCGAACAAATATATTACAAATATATTACCTGTTAATAAACGACTTTGTAATTATAAGCAAATGAACATCAAACATTATTATTATTATTATTATTATTATCATAACGCGTTATCAAAACAAACTTACATGATTTGTTGTTAATATTGTTCAAGAATCAATTTGAAATAGGAATTAGTTAATTTGTTTAAATATTAATTTCTTTTTTAAATGATATGATTTGAACAAAATAGATTTTAGTGAAACATTAGTCTATTCATGAAGAAGATAATCACAGTTGTCGAAACAAAAAAAAACACAAAAAATTGGACAATGATTACATACTTAAAACAATTTTCTAGATATATGGATGTCGTTTGTTGTTTTATCAATACTATCCATAGTATGAAAATCTTGGCTTATTAGGAATAGTTGATTTATATATATATATATACTCATTTGTATATAGAATTAAATGATGAACAAATGAATGAATCTAGACATGAAAATTTAATCAAGAGCATTTGTTCTAATGTATTGACCAATTATATTTATAATAATGGCAAACATTTAAAGAGTTAATAATGATAATCCAGAAGTTGATTTTTTTATCATTGGTAGATTATCAATGAAACATGTAACATTTCAATTGTTGACACGATTACATTTTTGTATATTAAATATGTTATGCACGTTTTAGGAATTCCTAATAAACATTTTTCTTTTTCTTTTTACAATTAGTACAATATATGAATGTTAAATTAGGAAATGTACTTGAGCTTTAACTGCTTTAATTTATCAGACAGATGTTCACACTGTCTGCCTTATTTAAAGACAAGAAAGCATAAGATTTAAGATAAACTTGATAGCATTCCTCAAGGCCAAAGGAAAAGAGGAAGACCAAAGAACACATTACGCCGGGAAATGGAGATAGACATGAAATAAATGAACAAGAATTGGATGGAACTAGAAAAGAAGGCCCATGACAGAGTGGGTTGGAGAGTGCTGGTCAGCGGCCTATGCTTCATTAGGAGTAACAGGTGTAAGTAAGTAAGTGATAGCATTAACATAAAAAAGTCAGATATGGTTCAAATACAAGCCATGAAAATGTGTGTTTTAAAATATCGATATTTTTAAATAAATAAATTAATATTTGTAATATTCCAGATGAGTAGAAAAATTAGATTTTTTGACGTTTCGTGACTTAGTGTAAAACACTTTTTTTCGGAGAATAAAAAAAGAAGTGGCTTACACTGAGTTACTGAGTCAGCAAATCTAATTTTTCTATTCATTGGGATATTACAAATATATTATTTATTTATTTATAACAATTTACCCAATGCTCAATTATTAAGTCAAACCTTGATAACGGTACCTATAAAATCAATATTTCTGTTATGTTACTTATAATAAGTTCAGTGACTAGTTCCAAATAAATTATGCATCTTGGAGGTGGAATAGTAGATGAAAAGAATACATTCCATCTTTAACCTTGGCATAAGAATCAGGGTACTTTCAAGTTAGAAAACTTGATTTACTTATCACTATTTATTGATCACTTCGCATAATTACAAAGAAACATTGCAATATTTCTTACAATCACTAGCTATGAAAGAACTGTTTTAACTTAGTGAAAATACATCTGTTTCCCTAGTATTTTATATTCTCGGGGTGACTTACACATGATATTGTCGTTAATTTATCACAAATCATCAAGAGTCCCTTGAACATATGATTGTCGATAAATTTATTAAGATACAATGTTAATTGAATTATGCCAAATTTTTCTATTATTTTTGTCATTATTATCGAATATTTTTATAGTTCATACCACGAACTGACCTTATATGTCTAATTAAGGTCAGCTTGTAATGTATACTATAAAAAAGTACATCAGTCTTTATAAACACATAACACTAGTAATTATCAAGTAAATTAAGATACTCTGGTACTTAAAATATAAAAATCGTCATTGTGTAGATAAGAGTAACACATGTAATAGGACAATGTATTGCTTTGAATTATACATTTATGATATTTGTTATCTCACAATAGTTGAAATAATGTTTAGCTGAGCATAATGTGATTTCAAAACCTTTTAGTAAATCACTATACTATATTGACTACGGGTGTTCAGTAGTAATATTGAATTCAATGTACATACTAGCGACTCTCAGATTAGTCCAAAAGGCACTCTAGTATACATGAATGGACCATTACTCCAGTAAGAACTAAAACAGTGACAGATATGAAAGTATTGTATTGTAATTAAAACTAAGCATTTTTTTAATGTTTACAACAATTATCATTTAGTACAAACATAGGATAACTATGAAACTACTTCTCTTGTAAGTACTTTGATATAAAAATATCACAGAAGAGATAAATTGAATATATATTACTCTGAAGAAAATTCTTTAGAACAATAATAAATATTTTTACATCTAAAATGTAACCAATTTTAAATCTTAGCTATTTTCTGAGTGCTTCGCAAATCAGTTTAATCACGGCTAACATATCTAGACGTTTTTCATTTGAAAAATTAAGCTTTATTATTTCATTTATCTAGAAATTACTTACTTACGCCTGTTACTCCTCGTAAAGGAGCATAGGCCACTCACCAGCATTCTCCATCCAACCCTGTCCTGGGCAATCCTTTCCAGCTCCTCTCAGTTGTTATTCATCCTTTTCATATCTGTTTCTATTTTCCGACGTAATCTGTTCTTTGGCCTTCCTCTTTTCTGCTTCCCTTCAAGATTCCAAGTTAGGGCTTGCTTATTTATCTAGAAATACATTAAACTAAATAAAGATCTATAAATGGCTATTTATTTGTAATTTAAGATATCTCAAGAGCAGACGTCTCCTACTTTCATATGAAATAAAACACAGGAAATATAGGCTTCGTTATTCTTATTTCCTAACTACCAGTATGATTCGGTTGACCTATAAATAAGAAATAGTTTATCACTACTTTAAACGATGGCTCATTTAACAAAAGCTTACAGATCGAATAACTGTAATTATTGTCTTCTCTTTGAATTTCAAGATTGTAGTATACAACAGAATTAATGAATAGATCCAAACTTATTTTTTTTCAGTAAATTATGTTTGCCAAATGATGAATAAAAAATCATGTTCAATCAGTGTATGATGTGAAATGAATTAAAAATATGATATAGTATACTAATTAATAAATTACTCACTTCAATATTTCATTGTACAATGAAACAATATTCATTAGAAATAATTTTGAAAATTGAGTAACATATGTATTAAGAAGTGGCATTCATACAGTTTTCCTTGGTTTCTAATTACTTTGTAGCTGAAATCAAACAGTGAGAAGAACTACTTCAGTGAATTTAAACAACCTTAATAATCAACTAAATAACTTAGCGAATAGTTTTCTTCAAATGATTGTTGTTTGAGAAAAACAGTTTGTTAAGTCAGTAATCGATTGATTTCTTAAAACTCATATCATATTTTATATCTGATTAACTTTTATTACTAATTTTAGTCCATCGTCTTCAGTTGTGATTATGGACAAAGTAAATTTACACCAAAGTGAATTTAGCAGTCTGATAATTACGTTCAAAGATGTGCAACACAATGAACAGTATGATACCATGAGAGTTGAGAATGAAATTCAAACTGTTACAGTTGAAACAATGAATGGTACTAAAGATACACCCTTCTCTGAATATACAATATTGGTTCAACTGTTAGCACTGTGATAGAATATTTGATTTCTAAATAAATCAGTGATTCGGGAGGAGTTTTGTTCTATTACAGTACGACAGAAATAAATGAAAAACGTAGTTCACTAAATGGAATTATTTCTTTATTTCGTTGTTCCAAGTCATCTCTTTCTTAGTTTCGCAATAGCATTTTTATACGAGCTTGTTTCAGGCATCTCTTAGTGTCTATAAAGAGACTATATCTAAGCTTGAATAATAGCAATATTGGTTCTTGTTAAAAGTATTTTTGACAACCCAATAATTTTAAATTACTTCATCTACGTGAAGCTTCATTCCCTCTTCATTAACTTCTGTAAACTCGTCATTGACATGCACATTACTAATACAATTAGTCCTTTTGGTTAAATCTTTCTTTTAATTCTTCAGACTATAATCTGGCCATGTATAAATTAGAAATGGTTTTATTTTTATTTGAACGATTTCACGTTTCATGTATTTTCGATCAGTCGAATTGCAATTAATTCGGTCGTTTAGTCCAGTTGTTTATTTACCCCCCCCCCTCAAATGTCCTGGTATGGTCGAAGATAGATGGGACTGGGCTTCTTATTTGAAATGCTTTTGTACAGCTAAGAGTTTATAGTCTCTGCCACGGAAGTCCTACTCACTGCCTTCACGCAGTGTATTGTTTATGAATGTCAAAGGATCACAAGCGAAACTTCGGAATTTGAAAGGGGTTAGTGGATACGGATGGTTCAACTAAAGCAACTGGAAAAGCTTGATTCCAAACCGATGGTACACATGGGCTAGAGGATCCCGAGGGGAGGAACAGCGCATGAACCTACTTAAGGTCACCCACTACCATAGGAAAGCATCATCTGACGTCGTCTCTATGTCGAAAGCTAGGGAGTGGGCCCCCAAGAAACCACCTTCCTTGCTCTAGGCATCTAAGATGTGTCGCAGCCCTCATACAAATAATACGATATGGTATGGCATATACAACCTCGAGAGCCCGGTTGTGCTAATTCTTATGCGGATGAGTCGCTGCCTCGGCAACCACATTATGGAGGAGACAAAATAAAATGAATATATTTTACTCTACGAAGTTTATTTTTTCTGTTCCGCTAAAAAAATACTCATTGTACTGAAGTGTTACTTTACAGAATCTATAATGTAGGGATTCGCTAAAAAGCACAGTGTAACATCTAAACCTAGTGTCATTGCTGATTTATGTTAACCACAGTGAACATATTTTGCGATTATTCGATCTATTACCGTTGAAGCTCAGAAATTTGTTAGACTATGTGAGGAATCATACCGAATTGCAGTTTTCCTTGAAAACTTGCATGGCTCCATGTATGCTCGTGGCTGTAACGCTAGGTCGATCGTAGATCAGACAAAAACAATCAACATGTTGCTTCTATTAACCAATTACTAAGTTGTTCAGGAATATTACTAGTGGAATACGCTCAACACTTTATTGGAGTGAATAAAAAAACCAAAGCGAATATTTCGGAAACCATAAATCACTATTGCGACTATTTCTTTCCTAAGAGATATGCACAGATTCCTATCGGTTTCACTGAAAAAGAAGTTTCGTCACCAGAATCAAGAGTACTGTAATATTGTCTTATATTAGGTATAATTCATATCTAAAGATTCATTTTATTCCGCATTCTTGATAACTTGTTATGTACAGCGATTCAAACTTGTCCTACGTCCATGATATTTAGATGAGGCTGATGATGATAATGATATTCTGAATATGAGTGGTCCTTGAATTTCCTTACTATGCTTACCTCAGATTCGGAAGAGGAAATCTGCAATGTCTGACGAATTAGTTAAACATGATAACTCGCCTCACTTATATTCAATTCAATTTACCCACGTGTCCATGACCATCGTCCACTTTAATACGCCTGACTACTAGAGTATGTTTTGTCGCGGCCAAGCAACGCTTAGTTATTTTAACATTCCTTCATTACCAACCGTTCATTCAATTACATGACCACTTAATGGACTTATTAGACTACCTTCTGGTTGGTTTCGACTGAGATGCGATTGGTTGGATAGCTAATATAATGAATGAATACGCAGCACACATAACTGGTGGTTATGTCTACCACTTCGTGACTAGAACGAAACCAAAGTTTTATAATGGATCAGGTCCCATAGTTCACCTACTAGTACTCCAGAAATGTAATCAAGATACTACCTCTAAACCCATACTTTCAAAGATTTAGGCTATCACTGTTATGTCCCGACAAGAATAATGAATGGTAACTTTTGGTGATCCATTTATGGACCAATACTAAACGTATATTTTTACTGTATAATTAAGTATCTAAACTATGCATATTCATATTCCTTTTGTTATAGGCTTTATTTTGACCCATAAACTATCATTATACGTTCTACCATTCTTGAGTTATACCCAGTATATTATTACTACCTCCCTCATTCACAGCCACATCTGGCTAATTCTTGTACAAATGTTGTTTCATATTTTATTGGTATGTTGTGGTCTGTTTGATTGGTATATAAACTCAGTGTGTTTGAAATATAGTGATTCATGTTGCAGAGGCTGAGATTGGTGTTCTGGACTCAACTGGCTGGGCAAGGCGGAAAGCGAGACCAATCAGGACTCTAGGCTGCTCATACGGATTTACGCGTCATTGGTCCGAGCGATAAGTCACTGCTCTCTAATCGGCGGTTACAAGTTATAACAATCACTGAAACCTTGCAATCTAAAGCTACGAGCCTATAGCATATACGTTTAAAATACAGAGACTTGAGAGTTATATTACTTAACGAACTAATCGCAGTGATCATCACATATTATTTAGTATCAATTGTAAATTCCTTATTCAGACTACGAAAATGATATTTGAAATAGTAAATAGGGAAACTGGATATTACAGCAACGACCTAAATCGATAAAATAAAGAACCAAAATAATCATGTCAAAAATATACATTTTGGACTAATATTATATTTTTCGTTACTTCAACCTAAAATAAGTGCTAGCGAGCGCATATGATAATTAAGTATCGAAAAGAGCGAGTACAATAGGGACAGAAAATAGGTGATCTATGATATAGAAAGTCATGTCATATATTGATTCATGAAGCACTGAAAACAATAGGAGAAATAATTTGAATGAAACCATATTTGCCAATGGTCCACCATTCCTTTGTTTCATTTTGCAGCTCGATAAGACGATCATGATCTACACCCACACCTACATCTGATTTCGCAACTCGAAGAGCTACAACCATTGGTCCACATGGGCAATCGGTGATTGGGTCTCCGAGTTTTGGATCTTCTAACTTCTTTGAACACGTACAGCTTGGTGATCTACCAATCTGCACTCGATAGAAGGCATTGATCTTATCGTCTAGGTTGTCAGGTTTCCACTGACGATCACCTAAAAGCTTGCGGTAATTGAGATCACCCTTTGAAGAAAATAAAACAAAATGGAAACGATATTAAGAATTCTGTCATTATCTAGTACTAATAGAAAAAAGAATAGTAGTTGGAAACAAACTGTATCATACACTTAAAACCTGAAAAAAATATGCATGCTAAGCATTGTATTAACTATGATCTATCAGAGGAAACCTTATTAACTACTGCATACATTGAACGGGTAGGTAAAACTGTGAGGAAAGATACGTCACAACTCTTCATCCCCACGGTTCAAAGTACTTTATTTTTGCTTACTTCTAATGTATGAATATATATTACTTCAAAAATGTTAGATAATAACCACCTTTGTCAAATATAACTACCTTGAATATTATTAAATCATAATTTCTTGATAAATCCTGGTAAAGTGAAGCGTCAACTACTTCGATCTCGTCATATGTGCAGGGAGTAGTCCAAAAGTACGAAGTTTCAAAGCGAAAACTGCTATCTTGAATCCGTTTTCGCCAGACTTCAGACCACTTTGAAACCAAATGGGCATATTGATCATTGTTAGCACCCTCCAACTCCAAAATATTCATATTTAGTAGCCAATTAAAATCTTTGCCAGTGACATCTGATACAAACCATGGAATGCTTTTACCATGAAATGATACATGGTCAGCAATGTGACTTGTAAGGAGATACTCTGCAAGACATAGATCTGCAGCTAGTTCAGGACCTGAATTATCAAGTATAATAGCTACACGAAGTTTATGATTAGAATTCCTTGAATTCACATGATCTGAGAAGTTTTTACAGAATTGATCCAGCGCATCACCATCATTTACAACTAACTGCTTCTCAACACGCTTGATAAAGTCCGAAATTTGGTCGAATTCAATTTGTTGAAAGTCGCCATCAGGATGAAGCGATAAATCAAATTCATTGGCCCATAAAGAAGCCTAGAAATGTAACAGCACATACAATAATACTTGGTAATATATTACTTATTTATTCATTTTAACACATAGATATTGGTACAAGGAGGCACCAAATACATATGCGCCACACAAATCTCTTTCGATGTGTGAAGGCTGTGATACTGCCCGGGTGCCCAAACCGAAGCAGGTGGTTTCCTTAGGGGGCCACACCCGAGCCTTTGACCTAAGGGTCTGACCCACAAGGCAGTGGAGCATCGTAAGGAGATGCAGTCCCATGGTAGCCGGTGACCAACGATTGGTTCATACGCCATTTGTTCCCGCAGGATACTGGAGCCCATGTGCACCATTGGTTTGGAATCCGGTTAAAGCGCCGGACATTCGCTTTTCGTCCTCTCATTTTCGTAAACAACACTCCCGCCACAAGAAGGCAGTGAGTAGGACTTCCCTGGCAGAGGCTGTATACACATGGCCATGTGAGAGCATTTCGAGAGGGAGAGCGGACTCTCCCCACTCTCGGCCGTACCAAATGCCCTAATAGATTACCGACTTGATGTTATATGAGGAATAAGCATAAAAGAAGTATGGGAAATAGGGATATATTTATGTTTTTACTGATAGAAGCTGACCACAAAATGTACATGATTACATTAAAATAGTCACTGAACACAATTGGATGTATGTTTCGTATTTTATCATATAATTTGTTGGATGACAGTGAAGTCATTTATTCACAGAGGAACGACCGATTGGTTTCAGTAAACAAATAACGAGGAGGAAAGCAGTCTACGTATAAAACTTCAGAAGAGAGTGATATAACGAGTAGGAATCGGACTTAACGCCCAAGTCTATAGATCATGAGGTACTGGAAACCTGCAAAACATATATTTTCATTCCTTATTTATTAAATGAAAACTCGTGTTTATTTTTCACTGAATATTTTATGTATAAGCACGTTAGCTTACTCATTCTGCTGGACGTCTGTGTTTTCTTTTGATATTAGCTTATTCCCGGGTTTGGGCTGATAATCCAGTCTCGTGAGTAGCTGTCAATGGCTATACAGTAGCATTGCACGTTACTTACTGATCCTCACTTTAACATCCCAAATAAATGATCCATAAAAACAAGCCACTACATGAAGAACTGTCATTCAGAGGGTTCTTCATTTTGGTATCTTGTAACACAACAACCAGTATCTAAGAGAGTAATCATAATAATTTGTCACCTCAGTCAGTCAGCTAAAAGGTAGAACCAACACATATGTGCATCGGTCCAAGTTGCCATACCTCATTAGCACAAGGTGATTTTTATTTATTTATTTGAACACATAGATATTGATACATGGGGGAACCAGATACATATGCGCCACACAAATCTCATTTTATTGGACGGAGATTCACAACCTCATCAACTGATTTACCATCATTCCCTAATACCTTACGTCTAACCTCACTATTACTTACCCAGTGGTCCCAGCAGATGCTGGCGATATTTCTAAAAAATCTGCGATCAAACACAAGTAGTTTATGAGTATCTTCCACTCTTAATGGCCACGTTTCGCAGCCGTAAAGCAAAACAGAACGAACTGCCGCGCAGTATACTCGTTCTTTTATTGATAGACGGATATCTCGCCTTCATCATAGGTGACGTAAGCTGGCAAAAGCCAGACGAGCTTTTCAAATCCGTGCAGAGATTTCGTCAGACACCAACCCATTAGGGCTGACCACACTTCCGAGATAAGTGAAAATGTCGACGCGTTCGACTGTTTCACTCCCTATCCTTAGTTCAGGTGTCACCTAACAAACACTAATGCAACTAAGAATGGTATTCAACAAGAACACTAACTTAGTATGTATATCTTCATGAAAAGGGTGTTAAAACCCATCCACATATAGCTCTAAACACTCAAATACTTAAAATAACTTACAAAGACCTATTTTGTTAGTTATTCTGCAATAAGTAGTACATTGAATCAATAATCAGTTGAACAAACTTAGACGTTGCTTAATTTCAAATCAAATCTAATTGTAGATTCATCCTACTGAATCAGCCGACGTGAATAATAAGGCTAGAATATAAGTTCATAAATATCCCTTTAATAAGAATGGACATTTTTGCTAATTTAGCAACCGCCTATGAAGATTTGATGATGGGTGATTTCGAAGCTTTGCTTCTATAACCTTAATCCACCGAGTGATATTGACGCTAGATATAGAGTTTTAAAGATGGTCGATCGGTTACGAACCTTGCAAACGGAAGTAGTTAAAACATGTGTTAGACATGTCCATCTGCAGCCTATATTGAGTTACACACTAACTTCATCAATCGCTATTAAAGTTTACTTTATGTACTTAGTTTTTCACTTTAATACTGGTATTATCGTGTTCAACTCTGCTTTCGGTCTTATTAATACCTTATCACTATGTTTCTGAGTTGAAAACGTGGACAAACAAATACGTTGTTTTATACTTATATCTGTCTAGACTATGACATGAAAAGCAGTATTTAGCTTTCTTGATTGGCTTACAGAGGACAACTTAAATATAGTATAACGAGTATGATTAGGTACGATGTTAGTCTACACCTTCAATAAGTTTTAGTTTTCAGAAAGATCGAATAGCCACTAAATGTTTTTTTCATTTAAAGGTTAAGATGTATTTTGCATATGTTATTTAGTCAATACAACATTTATCGGTATCGTTTTGGCGTTGAACCTTAGTCAAGTGCGTTTTCTTATTCCTGGGAAACAAATGGAGCTGTTGCATTACGTATGATTTTTCTACCCAAGTTGGAAATGAAAGTCAATAGAATGTTGTGGCAACTGACATTCCTTCTTCCACTTTTCGAGCGCGTATTTATCGCCAAGGAAAACCGCATTTGTACAACCTGACTGCATGAAAAGTAGTTGAACTTTGTAGAGTAGCGGGTAAGTAATTAAGATATTCGGATTTTAGTCGCCAAGTCCTTGGTTCAACCCTTTCTCCGGTTACTTCAATTTGAGAAACCGGGGATCATTAATCATCATGCTTGCAGTGTGACCCATACATGATTATTGCTGGAAAAGAAAATTAAGTCCTTTTCACTATAAGAATAATTTAAACTACATATTCGACCCTACTGGTAATATAATATATATGGTAATGGAGAAAAATATTTGCACGAAGGACTTACCGAATCTTTAAAGATATGCTGTGGACGACTTACATGATAAATAATGAATAAACGGACTAAAGTTCATGGTGTCGCTTATATACACCTATTCACAAGTGATACTGTCTTCCCACTAGAATTTTGTAGCCTATACTAAGAAGTTGGGTAGATAATGTGCTACGATCCGTCGTTTTCGATCACTTGAATACAGACTTCCTTGACGCTACTTATCACTGTGTACTGGAGGCAGAAAATTATTGATACCATAGCATGACCTCAGTGGATTAAATTTGGTAATTAGTTCAGCTGTTGTTGGATCTAATTTAAACTTCTTAGCCCAAGTGCATAAAAGCTCTTTAAGAAACTACACAAAGCATGATTCACTAGAGAATTAGCAGCAACACTAATCATAAGAATGGGATTCCCAGTTTATCACTACTTAATAAATGCACCAATGATGGAGACAAGTCACTAGTATGATCGAAGCCTTGAAACGGTCTGTAATATCGTAATGATGATAACTCATATTTTGGGAGTCTGAATGTGATGAGTACTAACTCGAGGACAACAATAGATTGGAATGACCTGTTTGGAGCGAACATAGAATAGGTAGGATTGAACTAGCAGTGGCGTCTAGAGCCCATACTTGATTTTATTTGGGACTCGTTAGCTGGATGAACTTGAATCTCAGAATTGATATCCACTCCGAGAACTGAATCCAAGACATTTTAATACAAATCCTCGACGCGTTAACCACTAAAGAACCCAGATAGCTATTTACCTGTGAAGCGTATGAATCTTAATTAGATTTGAAATGCTCGTCTGAGATTACCCTGTCAGCAACATATCACGGAGTCCATACAAAATTGTGACGAAATGGTAATCTGTACAGAAAGTACATATGCTAACTAAGAGCGGTCAAATTTTCCACAAACAGATAACTAAATCCATTGCAAATTAAATTAAGACTCATACGAAGTGATTGTGCATTTTCAGTTCCCAAACGTACAATCGTATGACATTTGCTGAATTCATGCTTAGTATACCTCATTAACCCAAATCCGTCTAGCTTCATGACCTTTTCAGTTTTTCTATATATTTAATAACAAAATTCACAGTTGAAGAAGTAAAATATTATACATTTCATGTTACCCACATTTATGAAAAAGTTGAACGCTCGTTCAGGAGGTAAATCTGACAGTTTTGTCAAGCAGTGAAGAACGGAATTTATGAAAGATCCAGCCTTTTTGAAGCAATGTTTCTTTTTTAAGAAAAAGGGTCAAATTCACTTAGACCACTAAGAATTAATCTATACATGGTTCCAAACCCACCTTTGCACAACCACATCGACAACACGACGGTAAAGATAGCATTCAGCGAATAGCCACGGAAGATCATACCAGCACATGTGTAGACCTCCAGATTTTGTGTCCTCTGATTGTCTAAGTTTAACTCCTTGTACAGACAGTAAGTGATTCCAGAGTTCCAACTCAGTAGAACCAAGAGGTGAGAACGATAAGAGTGTGATTGGTTTGTTCGTCATTATGTCATATCTTAAGTGACAAATACGTCGCGTTAGTTCCTTTAACTTGTCGGATATGTCCTAAGAAAATATGCGTCAGAACCTATTGTAACTGACCTGACGAGCATCGTTACAATACGTTTCACGATTCCGGTAGATCGAATCGATAAGCTGAGATAAAATTTTTGGCCACCGCTCCTGAATAGTATTGAGGGCGAATTCACTAATTTGACAGCATGGAGGAAGAAAGCAGAAACACACCTGTTATGGAATGTCAGCTTCGAAGAGGACATCCTCAAGGTCACAAGTCAAAAATATGGTGTCCTAGTGTAGCGGTTTACGTCCAGACGGTTCAGTTGGCTCTGGAAGAGATGGGAGCTTTCGCTTAATGGGCCTTCGTATCTAGTAAAAATGGATCATATATGCTGCTAGCTATGAATATAAGTATATTTAACGATAAAAGAGAAAAATGTTAGTAGTTGTCAGTCAGTCAGTCAATCAGCTACAACGTAGGACTAGGCACATATGTGTATCGGTCAAAGTTGCCATACCTCATTAACACAACAGGATGAAAACCGGATTCATAAAGTAGTTAGCTCAGAGGTGGTAATATATAAAAGAAAGATTGCATAAGAGGACATAGTACAGGGAGAAAGAATTTGGTGGTAGAAAAAAAGATATAATGCAATTTTAATCTCACAGCTTAAAGGAAGACAGAAAGTGTATACACCGACGCTATTGTGGTCAATTCTGAGCCGTGTCACCAAGAGTCTCCAACCATTGGTTACCACAGTCACGCGGACCCCAACCAAGTAGTCTGCATCTACCAACATGGCTCAGACCATAAGTTAATGACTTCAAGGACTGATGCCACGTTTTGGTCTGGCCACCCCTTACTTTCTTCCAACCATCTCCAACACCGGTTGGCATTGCACGTCGTGGTAATCAGTGTTCAGGCATACGTAACACGTGGCCGAACCATCTCAGTCGATAAATATTCACAACCCCATCAACTGATATACCATCATTCCCTAATACCCTGTGTCTAACCTCACTATCACTTACCTGATGATCCCAGCAGACGCCAGCAATATTTCTAAGACATCTGTGGTCAAATACTAGTAGCTTAGTAAGTTGTAATGAGATACTGTCCTCAGTCCTTAGGAATATGTCAAGTTTCCACATAAGGGACTCCTGAGAAGTCGATTGGGCTAGCGCCGCCGAAAGCGAATTCCAGCATTCAACTATTCTTAGGGAGTAAAACGTGTGCTTATAGTCCATCCTTCTATATTGTGTTTCCATCTTCCGGGTGTTACCCCCAAGGTTTGTGTTGGGATCGAGCTTCAATAGGTATTTGAGAGGATGTTCAGAAATGTCTAGGATGCCGCATGTTGTTAGAAGGTCACCTCTAAGACGCTTATACTCTAATGGGTAAAGTCTCAGTGATCTGAACCACTCTTCATGAGGCTTGAACTTAGGTTCCCAGACTGAATTTGTGACTCGACGCTGGATGAGTCCCAACGTACCCTTATCCTTTTGGAGTGAAGTGTTGAGTATGATGTCTCCATACTCTAAATGGGGTCAAACAAAGCTGCTGAAGACTAGTTAAAGGGTTCTACCGTCGAAATTAACAGAAATGTGCGTTGTTATCCGTCCAAATTTGAAGTCAAGTCAGGTCCTCCTGAGGTGTCAGCCTTTAGAAATGCAGTCTACTTCGTTATTAGTACTATTACCATAATAGACCTAGCCCCAAAATTTTGAATTTGTCATCATGTGACTATCTAATCTCTAAGATCTTACGCGGAAATCACATCATTGTCTACACTGACTTGTCGTGCCATGACAATCAAAAATATTATGTTTAGCACTTGTGAAGAACATATCTTGGTTGGGTAGAAAGTAATATATTTAATATGGAAAGGTATGTGTTACACAAGAATGACCATATCTGTAAGGCCGGCTATGTCATGCATATTAATCCTTGAATGAATGTTCCCGCGTTCACCATTTTTAGCTTTCTCTTAGTGTTATATGTTGAAAGTGAATCTTCTCAGTACCTATATGTTCAGCTTCAAAGACCGTTTGGTTAGGAACTAATACCACTACAAGCCTCCTCCTTGGGATGAAGCATGGTTGTCCATCTGTCCATTGCAGCCAGCAGATTGGTTTTACAAGAAAACTTTCCCTGAAACTGTTCTGTTGGGGTGAAAAGAAAGTTATGGATAGTAAGTAATCACGTAGACTGTCTCATGTAAAGGACTTCATAATTCTTGAGGGTGTTGAGAGAACCACAAAAGGCCGTTAGCTTGGTGGTTCGCTGCATTGATCTCTTTTGATAATTGATGTAATGTGAGCCAAATTCCAAGTTTCTGATACCGCGCCCCGGCTTAGCAAGCATGAGAACTACACTCTAAGTGGTGTTGTCAAGAGTGAAGCCGCTTCCTCTAGTGCAGCAGAATGGATCATATCCTGGCCAGAGAAGTGTCCTTTTTTAGGTTCTGCAGTTTCTGATACACCAAGTCACTTCTAAGAGTTCTGTTGAGTTGCAGGTGATACTTTCACCTTCGTAGTTTGCATTAGACAGTTGAAATGTCTGAATGTGCTGTTTTGTCAGGAAATTGGCGGCGTCACCATCAATGTTGGTTGGGCCATTAGGACCTAGCAACGGGGAAACTCCGATTTCGGCTCATTGAAGAGTAGTTGCATGACGGAAAATGGTTTTCGGATTGGAGATGAATCTATAGATTAGCTCCATCTATTTTCGTGCACTGGTTCCTTGCTTGTTTGAACTGTCTATATGTGCTGTCGTTACTACTTCGTTTACAATCTGCATCAACAATATATGCAGGTGTTTTATGCACTGGTAACACCTACCTTTACATTTGTGACTTAAAAGTCATCTTTAAAACAAACATTTACAATGTTCGTAATACTGTGCAAACAATCAAGCATGAACTCAACAAAGCAGATAACCTTAGAACTTAACACAGAAAAATAAGGCTGGTCATGTACTTGTGACACGCATTTTAAAGTAAAACTAACACTTGGCAAGAGCGTTCTGCCGAAACTCACCTCAATAACTGACCTTCATGCACAGTACTGGTATAGTCTTAACTTTCCTGGACATATCTCCACCAAAGCGTCTAAAATGCGTAAATTGCTAGGCTTCATTCTTCACAACTTCTTTGAGAGTGAATATAGAATCGTTCTTTATAAGACATGTGTAACAACCATCGTTGAATATTATTCACTCTTATTTTCTAACTTATTTCTATCCAGTGTACTGAAGGTAGAATGGGTACAGCGGTATTTCACTCATGAAATGCGTAAAACTGTTTCAATCATAGACTACCGTAATTGATGCCATATTCTAGGCCTGAACGTTGCGTTCAGACCAAGGCATACAGTTTTCCTAGGATTCTCCCAGAGTGGGACTGACTACTTACTCTTGGAATTACGAGAGGTAACACCTTTCAGAAACATTTACGTATAAACGTATATAGGTATCATTAGCAAGGTTTGACTTGATAATTTCGAATAAATTGGGAATTGGGTAAATTGTTATAGGTAGACAATATATTTGTAGTATCCCAATAAGTAGAAAAATATTTTTTCTGACGTTTTGTGACTTAGCATAAGCCACTTCTTCAGGGGATAAATAACCAAATCAAATTTAATCCAAGTTTAAATAGTACAAACGGAACAAGAATATTATGTGATCAATCAAAAAAACACAGAGAGAAAACCAGCAATTGTGAACGCAGGAATATTCAGGAATTCAGCCAGATGGCAAGGCTAAGTCCCGTAAGCGTGGTCATTCTGTACAACCTGTCTCTACTCACATTAAATATATTATTCAATTTCTAGCCTAAGTTTGTTCTTCAGAAGTACTAAGTATCATAAGGCTAATTGTCACGCTATGATGAGTCAGTGTAGACAATGATGTGGTTTCCGCGTAAGTTCTTAGAGCTCAGATAGTCACATCATGACAAGTATGAAATTTTGGGACTAGGTCTATTATTGTAATAGTACTAATAACGAAGTAGACCTTAATTCTGTATATCCGTCCGCGTTTTATTTGTTTAAAATTTATCGAATGTGCACATTTATGTTCCATTTTGCATCTTGTCATTCACTTACATACTAATTTCGCTACTGCGACCTTTCCTCACTTGTGTTTGTCATCTTCATTATTGCTCCCGACACGCACTTTTTTCAAACACAGATCTCCATTTCAGAACTATCTCGAGGACTCTACCTTGATTGTTTGCAGCCCTGTTTCTATTTCAACACTTTGTTCAATTCATTTGTTACTTCTAACTTTCTTATCGTACATGAAAAATAATTGAAAGTCCCTGCTTCGAGCCAAACACAGGAAAAGGACGCTATCTAACATTTCTACCGACACAATTCCTAACAGTTTTAACGATTCGTACCACTCGGTTTATCCTGAAAAGGACAAGCTAATATAAGTTCTCGCCATTCCAGGTTTTTTGACGACCCTAGTGAAAAACAGTGATGATAACGGTCACTGCAACTATACAGATGACATGAGATAGGTGCATTTTGACTAGAACATTCTTAATCCACGTAAGTATTTTACAACCTTAACCACTCAGAAATTGTAGACCACATGAACGAGACAACTAATTTCCTGAATTGTGTTGTTTCAGAGGTGTTTAAAAAAATAAAATGGTCAAGCGTGCAATAGGACACACATGCCTTAAAAACATCACGTGAAGAAGTTACCCTGGTATGCATTCGCCGATCCCGTGAAAATCCAACGCATCTGTAGACGCCAGTGAGTTTCTAAATTTCTCCAACACCATCGGTGGAAAACGGATTTTCAAG